TGTGTTTCTCTGAGTTCTAGGTTAAAAAATACCAGACATTTTTGGTGCCTGCGACCCGGGACTTCGGCGACTTCCACTGATGGAGGAGAGGAGACGCACTGAGGCGTACGCGCCCGCCTGATCGACCGGTGAGAGGGGTCGATCAGTGTTTAGGTCCACTCTTATCTGTCAGGGGTGGTTGACGAATTCCACACTGTGCAGACAGCAGAGATTGCTAGTAAGTAGAGGTTTACTCGTCTTGTTTAAGCGAGTGGCTGATAAGAAAGCGCTAGTGTGTTATAAAAAATACGTATTTGTGTGCTGTGAGAGCCAATTGAGCCGAGCTGAAAAGGATAATTTTGACTATAAATGCTTTCAGGCTGTGTCAATAATTGAAGAATAGTTGTGAAAAGGTTAACTTTAGGAAACAAGTCTGTGTGTGTGGCTGTGTGTGTGGCTGTGTGTGTGTGTGGCTGTGTGTGTGTGGGTGAGTGTGTGTCTGTGTATAACTTCCGTGTGTGTCTGAGACGGCGGTAATAATCTAATCAAAGTCACTCTGAAACCTACGTACGAGTGATTTTGTGAATATTTTTGCTCAGCTGTCTATTAAGGACTGTAATTTCCATTGTTTATAATGATAAGAGTTCTCTTAGACAAGTAAAAGCAATATCTTTTTCCTTCTTTCTCTCTCCCTGTCAGAAACAGCGAGCTACATTACGTCTTGAGATAAGGGAAGAGCCAGCTGCAGCTCGCTGCTGTGAGAATATATGGAGAGCAGTTTGGCCACCAGCTTTTTAAAAAAATAAATAATAAGCGTAAAATAAAATATATAATAACAGTTTAGTTAAAAATAACTTTAACTAAGAAAATAAAACTCTACTAGTGAGTAATAATAATAATAATAATAATAATAAGTTCCAGTTTAGAAGAGCAAATAACCGTCTTTGAAAGAATTTAAAAAGTTGTCAGTGTTTTGCGTAGACTATAGGCCCAAGGTCGGGCTCTAATGATGTTTGGGTTTTGGGCAAGGCTGCAGGTTGCAGCTGCTGCTGTATTTCTGAGATAAAGTTTTTTATTTTTAACTAGAGATCCAGCTGAATTTTATTTACTGGAATATACCACATTTAAAACACAACGCAGAGTATAAAATTATTATTTTTTATTTTTATATAACAACATTGTTATTGATAAAAGTAAAGATATAGAAATCGCTATTGATCCACTAGTAACTATATTTGTTAACCATCAGTACATGTGCGTGACCCAACACACCCCTCCTCTGAGAAGTTYATGCTTCAAAAACACTCAGAGTGTTTGCAATATTTAGATAAGTGGAAGTAAGTGTCAGAACATAGGGTAAGTTTACCATTCAATTTAACAGATTTAAATAAGTTTCTCCTAAAGCTTAAATTGTTCCAAGTTAATATCATGGGTAAACGACAGAGCAAAAATAAACCTTTAGAGAATATGCAGTGTCTTTAGAGAA